CTCTGAAGCATAATTTGAATATGCATGGGGTAGATTAACTCATTTGTCTGGATTCATGCTATGATATGATTGAGTGCAATTTCATAATTGTTTTCATTCATGGAATATAGTAATAAACTTGAACAGGCATGATTCATGTCTAATGACTATTAGCTTTTACATTTTGGACCTATTCAATTATAAATTATTTCTAGTGTGCTTAGTCACAAATTGATATGCTTACTCTAAAACTTGCCTTATTTCTTAATTAAAATTATATTTTCACAAATGCATGAATATGATAAAGGCATTTTCTTGTTTGTGAATACTTACTTGAAACTTGGCCATTAAGCTTACCGTATATTATTATCCCTTACATAATCCCTTGATCTTTATATACCTTTTTTTTTTGTTTATTAGCTCATTACAAGCCTACAAATGAAAAACCAATATTTTTACCTAGCCAAAAGCATCTAGCAGAACATTAGTTTAGTTTCATTAAGTGACCATGGGTGAGTTCTTACATAATATTAGGGGTGAGTACCAATGATTTTGCAAAACAAAAGAAATAGAAAAAAAATCTTAAAAAATAAAAAAACAAAAAAACAAAAAAATTTAAGAAAAATAATAAAAAAAGACAAATTGAAATGGAAAAATAAAAAATAATTATGATATACAATGTGAGTTAAGTTTTAGGGTTTAGGATTTAGAGACAAATAAAAAGTTAAGTTCTAAGTATGGTAAGTGTCCAATATAACATTTTATTGAAAGTAAATAAGGAGAAGATTCAATGATTTTATATTATTATAAGAGTGTTTATAATGTAAATTTAGAAATTTTTATTTATTCATTATGACTTAGATTAAGTTGGATTTATAAACTAATTTGTATTAATTTTTCTTAATTTTATTGCTTTAGACTTACTTTATTTCAACCATTAATTTTAAAAAGTTTAAAATGAAAATTTTGAAGAAAAATATTTCTAATGCTACCAAAACATTCTGAACTGCATCGTTAATGTTAGAAGATTAGATTGGTGTAACCTACATAGCGTGATAACACTCAAACTAACGTTACTAACACCAAAATATCTAAAAAGGTTATAAGTGGCACAAAAATTTTAAATCTAGAAAGTTTTTTTATAGTTAGCACATTCATCTCCTAAAATTCTCTCTCTTCTTGTGAACATTAAGTTGAAGAACTTACATTTTTAAGAATTAAGTGCCTAGTTCATCAATTTTCATGTAGTAATTGTCAAAAAATTTGGAGAAAATACTAACTAGCAAGTGTATTAGGTAGTTGTAACAAGTAATAAAATTTAAAAATCAATGTGAGTCTTAAGTATCGTCCTTAGAGATTAGGTCTATCAATTGTTACTTCACAAATTAATAACTAGTTGAGCTAAACAAATTTATAGAGATTTTGAATCATTTAACAAACAAAAACAATAAAGTGCATAAATCAGAAAATTACAGCAAAACAAAACTACAAATTTAGAAATAAAATAATGTGTGAATAAAGTTAGGATTGATTTCCCCTCTTTATCAATTGCAAAACTAAAGTAGATCTGAACTCTAAGCTCCTTAATTGATTGATGATCAATGTTACTAGATTAATCAAAGGACAATTTCTTGTCTCATTGATTCTAATATCTAACTAAAATACCCTAATTCCTTAGGTGTAATTCAATCAAATATTGCATTAGGCATTACAAATTAAGATATCACAAGATCACGAATTCTTATCCCCAAGATATCCATAACCTTGACATTCAATTCAAATCTGAGAAATAAACTCAATTTTCATTGATGAAGATTCCTCTAAGTTCAATTGAATAAATGATTAGTTCACAATTGCATTAAGGAAAGAATTAAACATTCAATACAATCAAAGTCTTAAAATCCAGATCCACAATCAATTTACAATTTCAAAATTGGATCCATCATTCCTTAACAAAAAGAAATCAGAACATGTTCCTAAAAGAAAAAGAGAGAGAAAGAGTAGAAGAAGAGGAGTTGTAGAATTTCTTCATAAATCTAATCTCCAGTCTGATTCCTCAAGGTCCAGAGCTTGGAAGTTGCCCCTAATCTCCCTCTCTAACTCTCCTAAGGTGTGAAAATGAAAAAATGAGAAAAGATTAGAAAAGATCCCAAATCTAAACTTTCAACAACTTTTTATAATTTTCCCACCTTCTTCCACGTTGACACTTTAATCACTGAGAGTAATAACATTGAAAGCCTTCCAAAAGCTTCTAAGGCTGAAGTAAGAACTCAAAACATCCAAAGTTAACACTTAAAAAGTCATTTTCAAAATTCTGTTATTTTGCATGGACACTTTCAATGACTAGTGTCTACTTTATGTGTTCTGTGCAAATAAGCCTTGCGTGTGGCTACTTTAAGTGACCAGAGTGAACGCTCGAATCTATGGATGGCTACTATCAATAGTTAGAGTATACACCCAAATCTGCACGCAGGTTCTACATGAATTTGTTATTGGAGTGTTCACTTTCAGTACTTAGGGTTGCACTTAATTTTTATGGATTTTCTTCTTCAAAATGTTAACTCTATGCACCTAAAGTTGCTACGCGTAGCACATATCACTTTATTCTTGATCTTTTAAGCTCAAATCTTCCACTTTCTTCAATTGAATCTTCTTCAATCCTTATCCTCAAAACTCTTAGCTTAAAATCTCCTGCAAAACTAACAAAATTACATCAGAATTCTATTAAATTCACACAATTTGAATTTATTAAAGACAAATATTGACTTTATTGAATATTTATATATTTTGTGTAGTTTTCACCTTCCAAATTACATTTTCTATCAAAAACAACTTAAAAAATTACTTAAAAACTTAATAAAATTTGCATTCATCAGTAATTTTGTATTATTTTTTTTTTGTAATTTTTCTTTATGTTGTTATGAATCACTACACTTTAGAGAAGGAAGAATCTAAACCTAACTTGTATGTAATCTGAATTTTTACTTTTAATTTAAGAATATTTATTTTAAATTAATTGTTTAACTTTACTTTTAATGCCTCTGTCCATTCATAATGGATCATATATTTCTAGTTAGAATTGTAAGATTAGGATATGAATTAAAAATAAGATAAAATAACATGATTAAGGAACTTTAGAAATTAATGCTTGTTTCAGTTAAAAATTTATAAAGAATTAAAGTTTGTAATTTAAGGTAAAGATTGTTGAGTCAAAAGAATTAACCTTCAATTACATTAGAGAATTTAACATTCAATTACAATTTTAAGACTTGAATCATAATAGAGATTATGTTATTTAAGTGAAGGTTTAGTGAACTTACGATCTTTATTGCTTTTTGATAGTATTAATTTTTCATCATAAGAGTTGTAATGAATAATAATAATCATAAAAACACTTGTTATCTCATTCTGAATTTTACAACAGAATTTATTTGAGGTTTCATACATTCTTTAAAAAAATTGATATTTTATTCAAATTGTTGGCCAAATAATAAAAAAAAGTAAGAAATAAATAATTGAGTTGCAATTATTATGATCACAGTATTCAACTTATTCATACTATAAAAATATCAGTATACTTGGCGTCATTTACTCTCAACATCATGCACCTTAACCCTACTAGTTCCCTATTGCTTGCGAAAACTAGCATAAGCATTTTGAAGCTATAACTTAAGTGCTCCTTAAAGCTTCCATTTTATCATCATTTCTCATCAAATGTCAAACGTAAAAAAGTGATAAACAAGGAGCCAGAAAAATAAAAAATTGCTGAGTAAGCGATGTCATAGTGGAGTTTAACAATAATCAAAGACCGAAGTGGGCTCAATGCCACAAGCTTAATGCTGTTTTTTGTTGGGGGAAGTGGGGGTTATGTAAATCTTTTAGCCAACATTTTTATGTACCTATTGTCTTAGTAGGATGCCAATTTGAATTGATTTAGCAGAGAGAAGGTGGGATCAGGCTTCAACATTAAAACATGTTTGAGACATGTTTCATCACACAAAGGTGCATGATTGCAAAAAAGAACTATCAAATAACGACATATATAGTAACTTCTCTTTTATTTTTAATTTTTCAGAAAAAAATTGTAGTCTTGAATATGAGCAGAAAATTTTATTGTGATCAAATATAAATCTAAAAATGGACTTAATGATGCAGGGAAAGAAGTTCCGTCTTACCCAAAGGGCCAGAAGAAAAAGAAATGAACTGTATTTGCTTGCACACACGCAATTTCTTCTTGAATTTAAATACGGAGTTTTCATCATGTTTCATATTGGCAAGCTATCGCATCATAATAATATCCTCTGAAAGTTGCCTTCTAAAAATGAGAAAGCAGTGTTATGTCCCTTACACATGTTTACATGTATGCTTTGAATTTGATATAGGAAAAACACTTTTAAAAAAGTTATCCCATAGTCAGAAAAGGAGAAACAGGAAAATAATGCAATGAATCTTCCTACCAAGTTTGACCTTACTGACCCGTTAAAGTCCTTGGATACCAATAAAAGTGAATCTTTATATATTTCAGAGTTTTATTACATGGACCATACTTATTACTGCATGTATATATACTCACAACTATAAATATGTGGGTCCAACATTCATGTCTCACGTAAGTCCCTCACACGGTTATAGATGTGTTTATACTTCATAAACGCTCTCCTGCATGTCAGAATTTTTATTTTCGTTTTGTCGCTTATTTAATTTAATTGTGGTCGTGTGTGATTTTATTTTAAAACAAAGAAAATGTAAGCTTCCTGCCACCGTGTTTCAAGAATTATATAAATAAATATCAAGCAGTCTAAACTTTAAACTCAATAGGACTTAATTTGAGACAAGACTAACATATGTATTAAGCTTCAGAAAGAAGATACCCGTGTGACATTTTCTCACCATTTTTACAGAAGCTGTCAGCCCGAAAACAGACCTTACGTGCAGTTTCTCTTATATATATAGCTTTATACTTATATAATACAAGGCTAGTTAATGTAGCTAGAGTATATATAATTAATATTGCTATCTTCCTATGGAATGTTGTCAGCTCCATGGTGTATAGAGCAGTGGACAAACCGATTGTTTTCCTTATCATTAGCATCACCTTGGGATAGGGATGGATTGTAAGAATACCATCTGGACCAAAAGAGATAGTTGAGGAAGTTGAGGAAGCTTAGGGCAGCTAGTAACCAATAGAAAAGGTCAAGCTTGTCTTTGTTGAGATTGTTGTTATGGAGCCAACCACCAGTTGAAGAAGATGAAGTGATCTTAATAACCAAAGAAACCAAAAGTGAGCTCAGATAAAAGCCAAATGAGTAAGAACAATATGTGATGGCTGTAAAGAATGTCTGCATCCCATTCAAGGACTGTTTGTAGAAGAACTCAATGAGGCCAACAGCAGTAAACATCTCAGACAAGCCAAAAATTAAGAATTGTGGGGTAATATAAAAAATGGACAAGGTTTTATTGAGATTCAGAGCTGCATCTCTTCTCTTTTTCTCCATAAGGGCAGCTGAAACCATGGAAAATGTAGCTAGAAAGAGGCCAAAGCCTATTCGCTGCAAAGGTGAGATTCCGGACTCATGACCAGTGATTTTTCTGGCGAAGGGAACAAAGAAACTATCATAGAGAGGGACTACAACAATGAGCAAAATGTAAGGTATGGCTTGAAGCGACGCTGGAGGGATATTAAAGGATTTGGTGAGATGGGTGTCCATTGCACTCGCTTGTTGGACTGAGAATGTTTGCAATTGTGCTAAAATTGTGTTGAAAACAATTGTGCATGCAAATATGGGAATAACTGATAGTAATATCTTTGCTTGTTCAACTTGCGTAGCACTGCACAATCTCCAGGGGCTTTCCGTTGTGTTACTGCCACTCCCCTCTTGCACTCTGAGACAAGCCTTGTCCAAGAACCTGCATGAAATTAAATTAATTAAATAGCTAATTTCGTAACCACACGTAACAATTATTTTTTTCCTTTTTTAGGGCGATGGGGACAAATTAAATGAGAATATTAATTGGCAGAAAATATACACACACACATACATACCTGAACTTATTGTTATGTTGCCAACCAACACTGTTCTGACTTCCATGAAGCATTTGTGGGTTAGATGGGCATATCTGCTTCCTTTTCAATATTGCAGCCACAAAAACCTGATAGGGTAATAGTAAACTGATTGTTTAGCGAAAAGCCCTACGAATCAATACAGTTCTATTATTGGTTTTTTTATTAGTTAAAAATCAGCATCATATATAAAATCGTTGTATATAATTATTTATATTTTTTCTTTTTACTTCTTTATCTTTTTTATATAAATATTACAAAAATATATAAAATAAATAACTAAACATGTAGCAAAAAAATGTTAAAAAATAATTGAATATCATATCGGACACATCACAAAACTAACCCTTTCCTATATTACGTGTAACTCAGCAAACATCACTCTTGTATATGACAACTCATATACTAATTTTCTATTTCTGAATTGACCATTGCAAAGATAAACTACTGTACACTTCCAACTCAGATGCATAGAATGTTTTATGGAAAAATAAATATAAAAACTCTAATACTTTAGTTCCAATGTATTATCAGGCACGAAAAAGCATTCATCGTATAGACAATAATTAACCCCTATCTGTATACCATTTTCTCTCAGATTATATAGTAAACAAAACGTATATGGCTGACATTTCACTATGCTACGCTCGCAAAATGAGAGAGTCGTGTTAAGAGAAAGAAATAAAAAAGGCAAAAATAATTTTTATATAAACAATGCTGATTACATTATAATTTTTTTTATAACGTTTTTTTCTTCTCATAACACACTCATTTTCATTTTAGAGTTATCAACACAGAAGGGCTCCTTACAACTCTATCTTTTAATTGATTTTTTTTTAACGCTTATCAATATATTTTGTTACATTGGGATTGGAGTTTGTTTATTCTTTGCTATATTATGAGATGCACACGATGGTATTATACTTTGAGACGGAAAGAACAAAGATGGTTTAAGAATTCATACTTGAGCAATGGGGATGAAGATGTTTCCTCGTGGGGGTTTGTTCCTATAATATAGAGTGCCACATATCAAGCTTATCAATCCCATTGCCATGACAGCTGCCGACACCCCAAGGCCAGCATCCATTCCAGAATGAGTTTGAACCCAAACAAGAATTGTTAGAGCCACAAGTTCTCCAACGGAGAAAGCAAAATATGCTGCATTGAAGTAAGCTGATAGCTTCTTTAATTGTTTAGGGTTCTCTTGATTGAATTGGTCAGCTCCATGAGCAATCATGTTAGGCTTGATACAGCCACTCCCTAATGCCACCAAATATATTGCTAAAAAGAATATCATGGCCTTAATGCCCTTAGCTTCTGTGCAGTGTTCTCCATCAATGAACATATCGCATGGGGGTGGCTTCAATTGAGGAAGATGAGCTTGGACCGAGAGCAATATAAATCCCTATAAAAGATCCAATTGTTACGGTTTTTAAAAAAACATGTTCTTTACCTCTTTCACATCTCACACATGCAAAGGCACACCCTATTTTCTTCATAGCTAGTTGGCCAAATAGTCCAAAACTAATTTTTTTTTAAAAAAAATTAGCAATTATATATTAGTAAATGACTGAAGATTCCTTTCTCATTAATGTTGGCTGAACTTGGAAGGTATATATAATTTGTAGGGCAATAAAAGTAATCCACTTATTCTGGTGGGTCTCTCAATACAGATGGAGAGACAAAAAGTATATGCAAAAGAATATTCATAAAAAAAATATTGACTACCGATTTATTGTTAAATTAATTTTCGTCAATATAGATTTTTCTAACGTACGTAAATTGAATTATTAATATAAATATTTTTAATTTATACTAACAATATGATAAGTTATAGTAACATAATTTTATTAGTACAAAATTTTAGAATTATATATTACCAATGCACAAGTGTTAGTATAATTAGTACATGTTTGAGTATATATATAGTAACAAAAATTATCTTATCACTGTTTTCTATTTTGTAATGATTATAAACAGAGGCACGCGTGGTCACAGACACAGAGAAGGTAGCTTACAGAAAGTTCCACAAAGCCAAAGATGAGGATGGTCCAAAAGCTCCCAAGATAAGAGTCTGATAGATAGCCACCAAGGAGGGAGAGGAGAAAGATAGTTCCAACAAAGTTAGTGACTATGTTGGCAGACCGAGACAAAGAGAAGTGCATCTCATTCATTAAATAAGTTATGAGGTTGTTTCCCACTGCAGCTATTGCCATTATTTCACATGCCTGAAGCCCTGAAATTATATATCCATATATAAACAAGAATCACAGTATAATAAAGCAAAGTCAGGAATCAGTAGCGTACAAGAGATAGCAGATAACACGCTAGATATAAAAAGTAAACTAAATGAAAATGAAAACCATAATCTGTCTCGATCAATATATTGGTATGCATAATGTTGTCATGGAATTAAAGTTGGCAGATCTCCAAGTGATTTCTCATATAACAAGAACAAATTAAAGCAAATAACTAGCAATTTTGGTTACAAATTAAGAAGTTTGACTAAACTTGGAAAGGCAAGGACATAGATTAATTAAGAAGAGGCATGTACGTTAATTAAGAGAAAGATAATTGGATATATAGCATGCACAAGCATACCAAGAACAAAAGCAGCAGCTCTGGTTCCACCATGCTTGCTAGGATTAGAGGGTCTGCCTTTCCAGTCTACAGTGTGGATCACACCACATGCCATTCTCGTGCTCATGTTGTCTTCCATTCACACTCTTGTTGGTGCTGATTCAAACTTGTAAATTTGAAGCAGACGGTTGTACTCAATTTGAGGGAATTTGGTCCCTAATTTATAGTGCCATTGCCAAGCACTTGTGCTAGGGTCCCAAAATGAGACTCAACCTAGGCAGTAAAGGACACCAGAACTTACTAGAAAACTGGTTTCAACTGCTCTTCTTTTACTACACTATCTTACAAAAGAGTGATTGTTGAGACTTAAATTTTTTATTATTAACCTCCATTCATAAAGTATCAATTGAGTCTTGTCTTATTATCTCTTGTGTTTTGCCCTCGACGCTCATCTTGTTTTTCATAATTACATAGAAACATCATACAAAATAGAAAGGGTGAGTACATGAAACCCATAAACTATTTCTCAAAGAAATAACACAACACTAATAAATAAAATAATCATTGCTATTGTATAAGATTTTATGGCTTATCAAATTTTGATAGTTTTCATTTTTGTTCCTCAATGGAGTAATCGATTATCCATTATTACTTTAAGTTTCATGGTTGAACAATTAGAAGTTCTACGCCTGCAGTCTAAACAGTGTCACATGGTACATTGATCATCTTTATTGTGTGGATCATCAATCTATGTGGTTACTTCTAGCAATGCACACTCAAACTAATCATGGAATGCACGAGTATTAGTCAAGATAGTCCAACATTATTCCTTTACAACAACACAAGATAGCTAGTCTTGATCTCTTACTAGTGCTTAGGTACCATACTATCCCCAATATTGGTCGTAACTTGACCAATCTATTTTTTGTCCCTCGCCGGTACTAGGTGTGTAGTTTAACCATTTTGTGTAATTATTATTATTCTTCTTGGTACATTATGGATACTTCTTTTGTAACCCATCACTCTCATTTCAAGAGAGAAAGATTCACCATCATGGTTTGTCCTTAACTTGAAAAATTCATAACTAATTCAGTTTAAATTAAAAGATCATGTAACTAATTTTTTTTTTATTTTTCTTTAAGAGTCTAATTTTGTATTAAAAATATAAACATAAATTAGGAAGCTAAGATATAGATAACATACCTTAGCCTTCTTCAAGAGTTCATTTGTCTTAATTTTTAAAAAATACAATAGAAAATACATTTTTAATTCCAAATTTAATGAAACAAATTTTTATTTACTTCTAAAATAGTCCTTTACTAAAATTAAAACAATATAAAATTTATTCTTAAAATATCCTTAATATTACTTAAAATTATAGTTTATTTTTATAAAAATTACAATTAGGTCCATCATAGAACCTAGTCATCAAGTTTTTAGATTTTTCTAAGATTCTCCTAGGACACACTTATCCTAATTCTGTAGGTACAAGTGTCCATTAATAGAGTGTGAGTTTGATTTTCTTTCTACTTGCTAAAATATCCGGAATATGAATTTAATTTAAACTTTTCCTCACAAATTTAATTTCGATTTGAACTCTATTTATTTTCTTCTAGGTCCTATATCACTTTCACTCAAATTTATATAAAAATTTCATGGCCTATATAGTTCTAGGAATGTTTTAACAAAATTTGAAATTTCAATTAAAAAAATAGTGTTTCCATCAAAATTAAATCGTAATCTTTGTAGAAAATTTTTGCAATAAAATGGTATAGTAGTTTAAAGTTAAAAGAAAAATTCTTAACTAATTTCAACATATAAATAACTTCCATTATTAAAATATCTATTAAAGTAGAAAAAAATTAATAATTCAATAGAAGTAGTAACAATGATTTCTATGATTAACAACAAATTTTGTAGAATTTCATTTTATTTCTTTTAATGAATAAGTTCTAATTCTTTTAGACCAATATCTACCAATTAAATAAAGGGAAAAGAGATTTTGTTGGCTCAATAATTCAATTAGTATGGGTATTTCCTTAACTTATGACTAAGCACTCCTTTCTCTCACTTGGATTTAACTAGTTTTTGTACAACTGTTAAATAGCCCTTTGTTCCTTTCTTCCTAACTTGAGCTTGACACCTTCAAAGGTCCTCTCCTAACCTCCTTTAAATCTCTTTTTCGATTGGAATTGGTGGAATCCTAGGGGAAACTTTGAAAATAGCTTAGAAACTGTGGTTTTTTTAAGGTGTGCCTTTTCTTGATTTTTGGTGGGGTATATGGTGTAAGTGACTTGTGGTTGTTCTTGGGGGAAGGGGCATAGACTAGGAATTTATTGTGGTGTCAAGGGACCCTGATTGATATTTTTGAAGAAAAATCTAGTTCTTGCATGATTCCTACTTATTTTCACAAAATTTTCATATTTTGAATGATGTTCTTATCCTTATCATTTTTAAAAGATTTGTCTCCCTTTCTTTTGCCACTTCATGCCACTTGTAAAGGCTAGGTCCAAAATATCTCATCCTTTCATTAAATTCAAGTGCTTAAGTGTATGGATGATTTGTCCCTAAATTAATGCCATAGAATTTAACTTTGATTCAAATTCTTTTTCATTAGTCCACTTTCCATGTAGAGTTGACATTGCTATATTCTTGTGCTTGATCTTAGCTTATCCCTTATCATTTTCATTTTAGACCTACCATATAATATGATAAGTCCATATTTTAGAGAGTTTTATGACTTATTTTTATATGCTTGGCCCTTATTTGATAAGATTTTTGCACTGATTTACTTGTTATGTTAAAATTAGCATAAAGAGGCTTCTAGTATAATATTGATGTTTTTTTTGTCATAATTAGATGAAAATTGATTAGAAAGCATGGTCATACTCAGCAGAAAGCACGATCTTCCTTCATAGAATCTTTCATGACTGCCAACCACTAATTAATGAGAAATTAAAATAATGCAACCTCTAATAATAAACTAATCAAGAAGAACCTAGGGCACATGGTTTCATCTTTACACTTCTCTATGTTCTCCTTTAGATTAATTCTAATTTTGGTTTCCTTATGATTGCCAATCACTTATACTAAATCTATTAACACCCAATGATCATGCAATGTTAATAGCCTTTTCTCTAAACTATCACCCTTAATGATCATGAAAGGTAAAAGGAAGAGTAAGCATAAAGTGCTTATCAGTTGTTAATTTAATAACTGTTGAAAGAGAAGAATTAAACGTGATCTACCTAATCATTTATCTCGTTTTACCCTATAGATCCATTAGGTATATGTGGTACGACCGCTTACAATATGATTAATTATGATATGTTCAAGAGTTGTCAATTCTAACATACAATTATAGTGCAATAAGGTAACACTAATTAAGAATGGAAACACAAAATTATCATAAATAATAAAAATCCCATAAAGTTATTCAAAGAATCCACTATAGCCCTAACTATGAATTTAGCTAGACATAATATAAAAGAAAATCAAAATAATAATAAACTAATCTAATCGAAAAGTAAACACAAACTAAATGAGTCGTTAATAGAGAAAAGATGATGAGAGCTTGTTACTTTCTCAACAGTTGCACTAAACGTGAAATTTATAAGCAAGTGTACTAGTATTGTTGTAGCAAGTTATAAAATCTTAGAATCATGTTTGAGTCCCAAATATCATCCTCAGGGAATAGTTTTCTCAAGTATCACTTCACAATTCAACAACTAGTTGAGCCTAACGCAATTCAATTGGAGTTTATAACATTTAAAAGCAAATTAACAAGTACAGAGTTCAGAAAATGTAACAAAACAAAAGCTATGATTTTGTGTATTGAAACAAATGTATGAGACATAGTTAAGGGTTTATTTCGCTAAAACTTTAGTGTTAATTCAATCAAGTTCTAAACTTTTAAGCATTTGGATTGAATGACAATCAATTTTACAATTTATTAATCAAATGTTAATTCTTTAACTCAATGATTCTAAAATTTAATTCAATCATCCTGATTCCTTAGATCTGATTCAATTAAATGTTGCATTAAGCATTAGAAACCAAAAGATTGCAAGATTAAGATGACTTATCCCTAAGAAATCAATAATCTTTGTAGTTAATTCAGATATGAGAAACAATTTTAACCTTCATTGATAAAAGCTTCTCTGTGTTTAGTAAATCAAATTTCCATTCAATAACTACTTGAATAACAAAATCAACTACTCAATCCAATCAAACACTCAAAGTTAAAATCCAAAATCAATTCAACACTTCCATTTCAGATCCATAAATCCCTAACTACAAAGAGTTTAGACAGCCATTACAAAATGAAAAAAGAAAGAGAAGGAGATAAGCAAAGAATAATCTTCAATCCAATCTTCAATCCGATTCCTCAAGATGTGAAGCTTGGAATTCATCCTCAATTTCTCTCTTAGATTCTCTCAAGACAAGAAAATGAAATGAAAATGAAAAATGAACAAAAGATACAAAAAGTTTGAGCCAACTCATATTAATAGAATTTCCTGCCTTTCTGGCGTGATCACTATTTTTCACTAAAGTAACTATGCAGAGGCCTTTCTAGTAACCTTTATGACTGGAACAATCACTATTTTTCATAAAAGTAGCAACACAAAGGTTAATTGCTCTTAGTGGTCTGCACGTGTTCACTTTTGTAAGAGATAGGAGATACTCGCATCTTGCTCTGTTAAAGCGCTCTCTGGAACACTCACTATTTTCAGCAAAGGTGGTAACGTGCAGCTAGTTCTATTGAAAAGCTCTCTAGAACACTCATTATTTTCTGAAAAAAGTGTTAACGTGTAGCTAGTTTTGTCTTTGAATCATGCACGTGATCACTTTACTCAGAAATAGTGATCATGCGCAGCTTATTACTCCAAATCAAACTTGTACGTGTTCACTTTTATACAAAATAGTGGCCACACACAAGTTGTTCTTCTCACCCAGCTCTGGAATGATCACTCTTATCAGAAATAGTGATAATGCAGGATCACTCTTCATAGGCGTGGTTACTTTTGTAAGAAAAAGTGACAACACACAAGTCAATCCTTGAAGTTAGGTTCTGGAATGATCAATTTTCTTTAAAATAGTGATCACGCCCAACAT